ATTGGAGATGCTCTAACTAAACACAAGCATTGGATAACAGATTCCACCCACATAAAAATAATAAATAAATCAAAAAAATATTGACGTTCAAAAACAAAAAAAACAAAAAAAAATTGAATGTCCTTAGACACGGTACATTAATCACTAATTATTATTTTTTATATTATTTATTAAAATATTATTACAAAAATAACTTATATATTGAGTATTTTAGAAAGTAAGTTAAAAATTAATTTTTTGATTTTTTTAAAAAATATATATAAAAAAAATAAAAAGATAATATAACTTAAAAAAATTAAAAAATTAACTTTTAATCCAAATGTCAAAATAGACCAACATTTCAAAGGGCAGCTAATAACCTCTCCACATCAAGTGAGAGAGATTCTCTATTCCTTTCCAGAATAGAGGAAAAGTTACAGCGTGCTTGTGAAGCAAACTTTATATTGCCCCGTTTGATAAAGTTATAAGAAAGTAATTATAGATTGGTCCCGTTTGGTAGACGTGTAAGAAAGTAATTATAGATTATAGTTTACAGCTGTAAGTATAAATTGGTAACTGTGGGATTATAGATTTAAGTAGCAGAATAGTGTTTGGTAAATAAGCTGTAAAATAGTTTTTTCTGTTTAATTGACTTTTTTGCCCTTATATTATATAAAAATGATAATTTTGTCATTTTTTTTCAATTTTAATTTTACGTTCAAAGATGTGGGAAGATAACACATACCACTAATAAGAGATGGCAGCAGGTTTCACCATCAGCGTGTTCAAGGAGTATGAACTGAGACCAAATTTTCAAAACACTGATTCAACATTTTTCAAAACACTGATCCAAGACAGAGATAAATCACAAACAAAAAAACTAACCTCTGATTGAACAAGACGAAGATTCCCAAATCCATGGAGCTGTGCTCAAAATTGAACTTCGAAATCACAATCTCGAGATGAATCGCTGACCTGTAGAAGAATCGAAGAAGAATCACTGAGTAAAAGAGTGAAGAAGAATCGAGAGCCCTAAGACCTCTATAGAGCCCTAAACAAAAGTATTCACTAAGCAAAACATTGATCCAAAACAGAGATAAATCACAAACAGAACAACTAACCTCTGATTGAAGAAGACGAAGAGTTCCAAATCCATGGAGATAAATCACGGAGCTGTGCTCAAAATCGAACTTCGAAATCGCAATCCCGAGATGAATCACCGAACTGAAGAAGAATCGAAGAAGAATCACTGAGTAAGAGACTAAAGAAGAATCGATCCAGATTTGGAGAAACAGATTCGATTCTCTGCGAGAAAGAGAGAGCAAGAGAGTGAGTGAGACAGGATTCAATCGTCTAGACGGCGGTGCTAAAAATAGGGTTTTCAAAATAAAGGTTTGGAGAGACAGAAGTGGCTGTGAAGAGAGACCAGATTTGAAGGCGCTTTTCAAACGTCTTCCACTCCCAAAACGGTACCGTTTTAATTTATAACAAATGTGACGTTTAAAAAACGCCGTTAATTGCTAGAAAAAGTGACGTTTACTTAAACGCCGTTAAATGAACGCCGTTAAATCCCTAATTTCCTGTAGTGATGAATTCTGAAAATAAAACCCAACCAAAGTAAATGATTCTTCTGGAAAAGTTATAGCGTTCTTGTGAAGCAAACTTATATTCTAAATTGCACTCGGTGTGTTTTTTGGATTAAGCTTTTTGAAATTAAGTTTTTTTATTTTCGTATTTTTTTTTTATTTTTAGTGAATATTTTTAACATTTTATTTTTATTTTTTTAGATGTATCTTACTTAGATATATTTAAAAAGTAAAAAATTTGTGAAAAAATATTTTAAAAAATTAATAAATACATGAAAATATAAAAAATGTACTGAAATTTTGTATTTTTTTTTGTGTTTTTGATATTTAGTGAATTTTGAAAAGGTTTTTTTCACAATTTTTTTTTTACTTTTTAGGTATCCTTATGTTAGGTGTGTTTAAAAAATAAAAAATAAATTGCTTAAAATATTAAAAAAATTCAGCAAAAACAAAAAAATATGGAAAACAAAAAAATAGAATTTTTTGAAAAGTGTTTTTTTGAAAAGTGTAACCAAGCAAAGTGAAATGATCAGTAGGATTAATTGAGAAAATGTTATAGATCTTAAATTTTTTAATAAATAAATAATTATTTATTTGATAGAAAATTTGGTATTCCTAACATTATCCAATTAATTATTCAGTACTTTGAAAATATTATCTGCCATTATTTATGTGTATTTTAAATTTGAGTAGCCAAATTGCACTCATATATTTTAATGAATTGGGTAAATTATAAATGCAACGCTTGAGGTTGGTTTAAAATAGAAATTGTTCTTTATAGTTTTAGGAATTATATTTCACCTCTTGAGATTTTTAATTTTATAATAAATGGTCAATTTATTAATAAATCATCAACTTAATTAATAATTTTTCATGATGTCAGAAATATATTTCAATTAATAATTCAAGTAATTTTATTATTGTATAGACAGCAGTTAAGAATTTTATTTTTCAATTAATCTTATTAAATAAAAAATTCTGATGAGAGGTATTTGTAATTTTTTAAATCACAATAGACAATATATATCTTAAATAAACCGGAGAGAGTGTATTTGAAATTTACCCTATTCACATGCTTTGATTGATACCAAAATAGTGGATCTCATGTCTAAAAAGTATCCTTTCATTTGGTAAGTGGGTTATTTTATTTATTTTTTTTGACTTTTTGATTATTTCAATTTGAGGTAAAAAAAATTTGTTTTTATTGATTTTTTTTGACTTTTGTGAGAAAAATAATAAAATAATTATAATTTGAATATAATATTTTTATCTTATTAATTGTTTATATTTTATCTTTTATGATTTAACCAAAAAGTCAAAAAAATTCACTTTCCAAACAAGGCCGTCTTCAAACAAGATTGAGAACTGCACTACTTCGGATCAATGAAAATTTATGTTTTATTCACGCACTTTGAACTCGTATTTGTACCTAGCTTTGATACTAATTGATGTGAAATTTTTGTATAAAATCCTTAAAAATTGACTTGCAAGAAAATGTTATATCACTACACACCCAGTAACCCACATCTAAAAAATTTATGAGTAAAACATGATCACACTCTACTTTTTTTTATTATTAATTTTTAACTTAAATACCATAATGATATTACATATGATATGTATTAATTTTTTGAGTAATTTTTTTTATGTTTATTTTAGAAAGTTATTTCCGTACTAGAACTAGTAAGCAAATCTGCTGACTTTAGTCTATTTGTTGGAGAAGAACTACAAGCAGTTGGGACTCTCTGAAAGTTAGGTTTCTTTTGATTTTTTTTTTTAATTTATAATTTGACTTATTTTTGTTTTTAATTTTTTTTTTCAAAGAAATTATATCAATTTTTTTTTTTTTTTAAGAATCATCTAATTGAAATGGATATAAATATTAAAAAAAAATTTAACTCAGAGTTAAATGCAAAAACAATCAAGTTTAATTGATACATTTGATTTGTAGTAATTATATGCTTATTCATTAGTTTTATACTTACCATGATAAGTTAAGTCTTCGTTTGACATTGGTTTTTTTAGTTAATTTTTTTGTGTTGGGATTTTTTTAAACTCGTTTGGTTTGGTTTTTTGACTTTTGTGAAAGAAAAAATGTAATAATTATAGTTTGAATGTAATATTTTGTCTTATTAACTTATGTAACAAATTTTGTCTTTTTGTATTTTTTTAGTCAAAAATCAAATGTCAAACGAAGCTTAAGAGTTCTCCCAACGCAAAAAATACTTGGTTTTCATAATTAATTTTTTTTGTTAATTTGATCTCTAATAGTTACAACTATATCAATTTCATTCTTTAATTTTTTATTATGTCAATTTAATCTAATTAATCACATGATTTTAAAAATTGGACATAAAAAAAATTGCAACAAACCAATTAATACAAGAAACAAATGAAATAAAATAACGTACTTCTAAAATTGATAAATAATTTTCAACATTCGTCGACCCAACCGTTTCTCAATCATCAATCTGTTAAAAATTTAATTGTAGTGTACAAACACAGTGTATTTACATATGTATCGTTGGTGTTACATGTATTAATTAAGGGTGTTTTAAAAAGATGGTAAAAAAACTAATTTTTAACTTTTTATCAAGTTTTTTAGTTTTTTTTAGAAAGTGATTTGAGAAGTTGATAAAAGGTTATTTTTTGTTTTTTTGTACAATATTTATTTATGGTGTCACATTACACTAAGGCTATGTTTGTTTGGGCGGATTGGATTAGTATTCCCATAACTAATAGTCCTAGGACTACGAATCCGTTGGATTATGCATCCTCTCTTAACTAATAGTCAAGTTTAAAATAATTTGTCCGTACTTCAATTGTTTAACCAAATATCGGATTAATAATTTTATTGGACTATTAGTCCAATCCCAATCTCATGTCCACCCAAACAAACATGACCTAAAATGACTAAAATATCCCACCAAACTTGTGAAATTTACTATTTGACCCAGGTAGTTATTTGAACAATTATGTAATTTCATGGAGGGTAATTACGTACTTTCACCATCTGCGTTTTTGTCTCTTCCCAAATCAACTTGCTTGCTTTTTTATGTTGCTAGTGGCGTTTTTGAATGCTGCAAAATGCAGTTTTTTGCTTTCTTTCCAAAAGGATACTTAAGTTACTAATTAATGTACTAATACTAGTTATGATATTATTATTGATCTCATTTATTAATCATATTATAAATATAAAAAATCTTTTAAATTTTAACACATTATCGATTGATACACTAAATATTATTTAATATGTATAGATAGATTAATTACAAGCAATGAATAACACCAAGAAAAAGAATTATATACACAACAACATCAATGAAATTTCCTAATTCTATAAATATGTTCACATAAAATTATAGTGTTGAATATTTACCCAAAAAAATTAAAAATAAAAAGAATCCCACAAATCTTTGGTTCCAAGCCCTTCAATTACTCAGTATTTGCATGACCAATCAATCCCTTTCCTTCATCTTCATCTTCATCTTCATCTGCTCTTTCTTCCTTCTCCCTCTGAAATATTCAATCCAAAGATTCAAAACCCACAACATACTCAACCAGATCGCACTCACAATCACCACCATCCAAGAAACCCAAACCCACTTCGGAATCACTCCCTCCCCTCCTCCCCTCCCCAAAAATACCCAAATCCTATACACAAAAATGGGCCCAAACACGCCCCTAACAACAGTGTAAAACCCATAAAAAACAGGGGACAACAACTCATACACCGCTCCTCCTCCGGCGGCGGCGGAGCACGGCGGCGACACGGCGGTTCTAGCTAACTTGGAGAGGCTCCAGGCGTTCTGACAGGCGCTGGTGACCTCAGCAAGAGCGAGGAGAGAAAGGATGGCGATGGCGCCGTGGCCAACGAGGAAGCGACAAGTGGCGAGGACGTAGAGGGTGGCCACGTGGTGGATTATGAAAAGGACATCTGTGGGGACGAAGAGGAGGTAGTGGAGGGTGTCTGCGATGAAGTAGGCTATGCTGTAGTTGAGGATTGTGTTTTGGAAGTGTGTGTTGGGGGAGGCAAAGGTGGTGGTTGGGTGGTGGTTGTGGAGAGAGAGGGTGGAGAGAAGGAAGGCTGGGGTGCCATGGGCTAGAGATATGAGACAGCTTGAGGCTTCTGGTCTGCAAATACCAGTCCAGGATTTGAAAATTTTGAAGTAGCCAAAGAGGTAGATGGTGATGAAGAATGAGAAGAACAGAGGGAGGGTTGGGGGAGAGAGAGTTTCCATGGAAACCCAGAGAGAGAGAGAGACAGTGAGAAATTCTATGTATATGGTTACGATTTATTGTATCGGTAGTTCTGACGCATCTTTTTGTACATCTATATATATATATATATATTTTTTGCTCGGGTTGGCCATTGGTTCTGCCCAAGCCCGGCCCGAATTGCAATTCGGGCATCAAAAATCTGCCCAAGCCCGTCCAGATTACAAGATATAGTTGCCCAAGCCCTAAAAAAACTCGGGCTGGGCTCGGGTTGCTCGGGTTGAGCCCGCCCGAGTTGCACCCCTACATATATTGCGTGAAATATTCTTAATCAATTATATAATAATTTTTTTATATATAATTACGTGAATATTCTTGTTTAATTCCGCGTTGGTGCTTGAGATCGTCCTTTTTTTATTTTATTTTATCCTTTTATTTTGAATAAGAAATATATTTAAGAGCTCTAAATTAGGAGCATTAAAGGAGCTCTAGAGAGTGGGTCCCACTGACTGATGTGATGTTGGAAAATGCTATGACCCCAAATAAATTATCAAATTTTCTACCAAACCTGTGGGATCCACACAAATCAAATGTGTGTGGGTCCCACACCCATGTGAGAGATTTGGTAGAAAATTTGGTAATTTGTTTGGGGTCTCTAGCATAACTCTGTGATGTTTTGGCCTTAAGTTTTTTTTTTTTTTTTTTTGAATTTTTACCTCATTAGTGATCCATTAGTGCTCCTAAATTAGTGAGATGTATCATTATTGTTTAAATAATTTATTAATGATGACCTATATATTGACTAAACGTTTTTTTTGTGATTATACAAACCGTCTTATTCATTTATGCAACAGATTTTTTCGTAATTAAGTGAATATTCTTAGTTAATTATGAAACAAGTTTTTTTATAATTACGCAAACATTCTCGATCAATTATAAAACATAAATTTTTTATTTTTTGACAAATTACAAACACACTCATCAAGTTTGTTTAAAATAAAAATTAGTCCTATAATACTAAAAATTCTAACTACTGGTTGTTATAAATTTTCAGTTTGCAAAATACTCAAAAAAAAAGTTTGCAAAATAAAAAAAAAAAAAAAAAATCTCCTATACAATAATAAATTATCAAAAGTGTTTATTGAAAATTATTTCTCATATCATTAAAAACTATTAATTGACTTAATGATTTATTTATTAATCAAATTGGTCATTCCTTTTGTGAGTATAATTTATGTGTTAATAAAATTAGTTATTTGTATATATATATATATGTATTTTTTTTTTGTTTCTTTATTAGTTCAGTGAATTATCTTAATATTTGTTTTATATTTATCTGTTGAGAAAAGCTACATACCAATTTTTTTTTTTATAAATTCAGAAGAAATGTTAAAAACTTATAAATTCACCCAAAATGATATGGTAATAAAATTAGAGTCTACATCGTTAGCGGTATAACAAATTAAAAAATGATATATATCATACTACATAATTCTATTACATATCTAATAATTTATTCTATTCAATTTCATAAATTAATATTTTAATTTTAAAAAAAATTATCAAAATATAAAAGTTAAATATATTATAATAATAATTCGTACCTACATACAGGGTCTTCTTAAACTAATATATATATATATATATAAAATAGTGTTTCTAGCATACGTAATGTTCTGTCGCGTTTAGAGCATCTTCAATGGAGGCTCTATATCTTCAAATATAGAGGATCTTTTGAAAAAATTCATTTCAACCCATCCTCCATATCCTCCTTCATTTGAGAGTATGGATGTTTCATCCTTCAAATTTGAAAGGAGTATAAAAAATAAATGATCATCTCTATAACACTATTCATTCTATATTTTTTATTATATTACAAATAACTTTTAATATATAAATTTAATTTTTACAAAATTGACATCATTAAAAAAGTGTCCAGCTTGTCTCAAGTTGAGATCAAGAGTGGACCTGTCCAGTTCGGCCCATTGGGCCCATTTTTTGGGCCCGTTTTGATAATCCGAAATGATCAATGTGTAGAACTCGTCAAGTACTACATGCCTGTAAAAAATCACGTTGATCGAATATCAATAGCTATATGATCAAATCAGTTTTGTATAAAAAAATGGACGGTGAAACAATTAACGGTTGATAAAAAACTGTTTCGTTCACATAGTTATCGATATCCGATCAACGTGATTTTTTACAGACATATAATAATCGACGATTTTTACATATTGAACGGTTCAGATTATCAAAACGAAACCTATGATGGGCCTCCACGGGCCCAACAGCACGGTCCAGTCCGATCTTGGACTGGACCAAAGTCACTGCCTTAAAAAATGTGAAATCATACCTTTAAAATGAGTATAATATTAAATATATCTTACAAAAATTTTAAAATTAAATATTTGTTAATGAACAAAAATTACTTTTTGATGAAAGGAAGATGTGAAGAATTTTGAAGGTTTGTGATTGGAGTTTGAATGAATAGTAACATATTTTATATTTACTTTTTGAATAAAAATAATTATTTTCATTCTCTTAGTGAGACAATTGGGCTGAAGATGCTATTATGTCATCTCTTTCTATTCTACCGAACTCACAAATCCATTACAGTCATTAGTTTTATACGGACTAGAACTGTGAAATACTTGTTTACCAAATGGAAATGGCATCTGTTCGGTTTTTAATCGGATTGGATTGTACTGTTGGGCTTATGGAAGCTCATCACGGGTCCCGTTTTGATAATCTAAATCGTTTAATGTGTAGAACTCGTCGAGTACTATATACCTGTAAAAAATTACGTTAATCGGATATCGATAGTTATGTGATCAAAACAGATTTTTGTCAACCGTTAATTTATTCACTCTCCATTTTTTTTACACAAAACTGATTTGATTATATAGCTATCGATATCCGATTAACGTGATTTTTTACAGACATATAGTACTCGACGAGTTCTACACATTGAACGGTTCAAATTATCAAAACAGTACCCGTAGTGAGCTCCCATGGGCCAAACAGCACGGTCCAGTCCGATTAAGGACCGGACAGAAGCCATGCCCTTAACAAATTTAGGTTTCGTTTTGGATATTTTAAAAAAGTCAAAAATTAAAAAGTTCCTATCTTATTTAAGTCATATTATCTTATTTAAGTCACATCACCTTTCTACCACATCACTTCAAGCCCAACCCATATTTCATAAAAAGTCAAAAAGTGCACTTATTTAGAACATCCTAAACAACCTTTTAATTTGAGTTTTGTATTAAGGTCAAGTTTGGAAAGACTAAGTGTACTTTTTGACTTTTTATAAAATATGGGTTGAATTTAGGTTTGGTTTGAAGTGATGTGTTAGACAGGTGATGTTGACTTAAATAGGATAGTGACTTGTTGACTTTTTAAATTTTTTGGAAGATGCCAAACTTGCCTAAATTTAATTACAAATTTTATATGGATTATATTTTAGTTGTACAATATCTTTCTTATATTGTTCTATATAATCACAACTTACAAGAAAAAATCGACAATAAATATATATTGAAAGACTGTTTCAGATTCTTATTAAGTTACTCCTTCAAATGTTGCAAGATATTTTACATCCATTCTGATTTTTGATTTTTTGTATTTGGTTTATCAAATATAAAGATTGTTAATTTTTTTATGTATACAAAAAAAACTGTTTTACTTTTAAATTTTTTTTTCTCTCCTCTGTGGTGCATCTCTCCTCTCTCCACATAGTTTTATAACTGTTATTTTTAATATTAAAATTAGTACTTTTATTATATTATAATTTAATATCATATAAAATCATTACATATATTTATTACATTTTTATAGTACAATAAAACTAAAATGATCAAAGTAAGTGTTTCTTTTACTATGTTATAGTCTAATATCGTATAAAATTATTATATATTTATTTATTTAAGTTAGATTTTTATAGCACAATGGGGATAAATTATTAAAATACACATAAATAATTTATCTAAAACTATTATATATTTATTTAAATAACACTTTTTATAAAAGGATAGGGTTAAGATTATCAAAATAAATAGTTAGAATTATTCTTTAATTTTAAATTATTACTTCTTTTTTTAATTTAATCATTATTTTTAATATTTTATATATAAACATATATATAAATAATTTAACTAATATATTATTTTGAAAAAACTAGATTTTAGCCTGTGCATTGCATAGGTTAACTGCTTGTTGTGATATCAATTATGGGTATTATTTTAGTTATAATCCAATAGTTATTCAATTATTCTATACTTCTCATATGATATTTGGTTATAATTTTTTTTTTTTTGAATTATACCATTTGTAATAAAAATTATTTATATGGAGATCCCTTAAACTATAAAATCATACAAATGAACCCTTAAATTATTGAAAAATATCACTTCGACCCCTTTCATTAGGAGGACCAATTGATACAATTTTATAGTTTATTTGTGCGCATTTATAGTTTAAAGAAAAAATTAGGATAAATTACAAATACACTTATTGAGATTTACTTAAAATATGAATTATCTCTATGGTTTGAAAAATTACAAATACCACCATGTCAGAATTTTTTATTTAACAGAATTAACTGAAAAAAATAAAATTTCTAACTATTCTCCTATACAATAATAAAATTATCTGAATTATTAATTAAAATAAAATTTTACATCATTAAAAACTGTTAATTAACTTGATGATTTATTAATAAAAGGACTTATTTGTTATGAAATTAGAAACATTAGAAGGCATATTGTAATTTCTAGAACTACAGGGAGTAATTCGTAATTAGTAATTTAAATAAACCTCAGGGGATGTATTTGTAATTTATCCAAAAAATTAATACTTCTCAATAGTTTAAATGATCTATCTATATACTTTTATAATTTAGAAAGTCAAAATGATCTTTTTTAATAATTTAGAGGGTCTTTGTATAAATAACCCTTGTAATAATTAAATTCACAAATAACATAATTTACGTATAGCATTACCCAAAAAATATTGTTATTCGGGTCTAAAAATTAGACCCACTTCCTAGACTCAATAATATATTAAAAAGATGATTGAAATTAAATATTATCTAATTATTAACTAATGACACATAACTGAGTCTATAAAGTAAGTTTAAAAAGTGAATTTTTATATATTTTTACGGAAGGATCCCCTCCAGTCTACATTGTATCGGAGGGCGCTATTTGACCACGGATCCTGTTTTAATAATCTGAATCGTTCATTTTTATCAGGTACTTCATATATTTTATCCACAAAAAAATTAAGTCAATCCGATAATTATAACTTATTCAATTTTTTATAAAAAAAATTAATAATAATTATATTTTTAAAAATAAATTATATATTTTTTTAGTAACAAATATAATTAAATAAATTATAATTATCGAATCTTCCTAATTTTTATTATAAACAAAACATACAAAATGTCTAATAAAATATATTCCTATATTTTTCTTTCCGAAAAGTAGATTAGATATACTTCAAAAGCGTAAAGTTGGATTGATTGATGGAGCAATGACTTGACGTGTGGGAGTCACATTCGTTCCTTCATAATCATCCTAGTTAAAAACCAAAAGTCTTCTTTTTGTTTTGAACGCAACCAAAAGTGATTAATATAATTAAAATAAATTTAAAAAAAAAGGGTTAAATTTATTTTATGTTCATATTTTAATAAAGGAAAATTTAAATGTGCCGCGAAATTTATTATAGATCTCATTTTAATAATTTAAATTATTTATTTTTAGACAAATTACATATACCTCCTTCGAGGTTTAGCTAAATTACAGATACCCCTGAGATTTATATTTTCACAACAATTTATCCCTTAATTTGTTATGCAAATAGTACCTTCAGGGTGATATCTGTAATTTCTCAAACCTCAGGGGACATCTGCAATTTTGCTAAACCTCGAGGGGGATATATGTAATTTGCCCTTTATTTTTAATATTTGTTAAGTAGAATATTAATGTAAAAAATAGAATGATCAGATTTCGATGGCTACATATTTGAATCAAATCCGTATTATAAAAAATTGATAGTTATTTTTAAAATTACATTTATTGTCTATTTTTTTAAGACAAATATAATTTAAACTTATTACTATTGATATCTAATCATCTTTATTTTTTATATGAATATTTTATTCAACGAATATAAAAAAGTAAACGGTTCATATCAGCGAAATTAATTTCAAAATAAGCCTACTAAACCCAAACGCTCTCCCAAATTGAGATGACCCAAACCCAAAAAAAAAAAAATAATTTCAAACAAAATGTTTTGAGAAAATTTCAAATCAGTAGAAAATTTAAAAAATAATTATAGACTAATGATACATTTTATAAATACTAATAATTAAAAGTATAAAATTTTTCCAAATGTAATAACTTTCTCAAAATAGTTTGAATGGTAATTTTTCCATATGTTTTTCCTAACAAAAATAAATTTAATTGGACAAAAGAGAAACAAAAAAAAATCAAATAAAATTCTTATAATATTAGCATGTTTGAGAACAACTTGTTTTAATAATTTTTAAACTTATTATGAAAATATATACTAAAAAAATAAAATATTGATGTGACAAATTATGATATATATATATATATATTTACTTTTTGACATCAATACAAAAATATTATCCTTATTATGCTATTTTCCCCCACCCCCTTTGACCCCCTCTCTCTCTCATTGGTTACCTTTTCTTTTTCTTTTTCTTTTTCTTTTTTTCTTTTTCTTTTTTTTCCTGCTCCACCAATCACCTCCTGCCACGTGGCAAAGGGGGGGTGAGGGGGTGACCCCCAAAAGGGGGTCCCAAGCATTATTCTTTATAAATACTAATAATTAAAAGTATAAAATTTTTCCAATGTAATAACTTTCTCAAAATAGTTTGAATGGTAATTTTTCCAAATGTTTTTCCTAACAAAAATAAATTTAATTGGACAAAAGAGAAACAAAAAAAATCAAATAAAATTCTTATAATATTAGCATGTTTGAGAACAACTTGTTTTAATAATTTTTAAACTTATTATGAAAATATATACTAAAAAAATAAAATATTGATGTGACAAATTATGATATATATATCTATACTATTATAAAGTGAACACATAATATGGTGTCCTGAAGCTTGCTTCACTCTCCTCATGCCATGTGGCAGTGTTTTTTATTTAAAAAAAAAAAAAAACAAAGAGATGGGCAAGGCTTGAACCCATGACCATGGGTTTAAGTATGAGGACTCATACCACTTAAGCTAAGTACACATTATAATATTAACTTCATTATTATTTTCTTTTATTCCTATTTATTTAATTTACACACACATCGTGTGTGCCCAACCGCTAGTATATATATATATATTTACTTTTTGACATCAATACAAAAATATTATCCTTATTCTGCTAAAACGAACAAACAAAATAAAATTTAATAGTTGTTATAAATTATTGGAGCTCGTTTGGCATGTTATTAAAAAAGGCAAAAATTTAAAAGTTATTAAAAAAGTAAAAAAAATTATTACTATTCACAAATTAAAAATATAAAAAAAATAATTTACTTAAAAAAAATTTAATCCAACTTTACACAATGATGATACTGAAGTGATGGGAAAAATTATATACATACACTATGATGGTACAAATTACAAACTAGATATATATTTCATTAAGTTGGAAGGTATTGTTGGGCCCGTGGGGGCCCACCACGGGTTCCATTTCAGTAATCTGAACCATTCAATCTGTAAAACTCGTCGAGTACTATATGTCTGTAAAAAATCACATTGATCGGATATGTGATCAAACCAGATTTTTGTCAGTCGTTTATTTTTCACTTTCCATTTTTTTCATACAAAACTGTTTTGATTAGATAGCTATCGCTATTCGATCAACGTGATTTTTTACAGGCATATAGTACTCGACGAGTTCTACACATCCATCGGTTTGAATTATCGAAATGGGACCCGTGGTGGGCCTCCCGGTTCAGTCTAATACATCTGCCAACATATATCATTTTCTAAACATAAAAGAGAGCTATCATTACAGTTTAAAGCATTACACACAAAATATAAAACAAATTAAAATTATTGGTAAATAAAAAACTGTTATAAAACCCTAGCTTGGTCTCATTAACTTAAAATTATTAGTAAATAAAAAACTGTTATAAAACCCTTACTACAATCCTATGAAAACTTCTTTTTTCGCTATCGCTATCTAAAAGAAAACCGGCCTGCATAAACCTCTATAGTTTGGTAAGTTCGGTAGTGATCCGGCTTGAGACTTGGTTGACCTCCTACATCACCATTCCTCCATCAACGGTCAACACCTGCACAGACACCATTATTATCAAGAAGCTCATCAATATATGGCAAAAAAAAATGCAGGAAAAAAGGCGAGCAACCACACAAACTTGGCTTGCTAATATGAAGGTCCTTAAGAGTAAAGCCAAGTTCATTGTCAGTGTCGCAAAAAGAAGATTTTATGGAATAGAATTTCAAAAACCTGTCCAGTAATGTAACTGGCGGCAGGACTGAGAGCCAAGAATTCCACTAGTCCAGCAACTTCTTCTGGTTGGCCGTACCTTCCTGAATTGACAATGAAAAAATAATGATCAGAATAGTGCAAACCATTTTAATTCATGTCCTTGAAAACCTGATACGGATTGGCACTTTCACGAATCAGACAAACAAGCACCGAAAAACGAAACTAAGGATGATCAATCTCAGTGATACGCCTTAATAGAAAAGATACAAGCTGCATAAAAGAGCATAAAAGAGCTGAATGGCAGAGAGGTAGTCATGAAAGTGGGAGCTTTGCTGAGATAGTGGAGATTTAGGAAGAACTAATAAGAAGCTTTTTTGCAAAAGACAAATAAACCTGTTTGAGATGGCTTCTCCATTAAAAAAAAAACAAACAAACAAACAAATTTTTAAGCAAAATTGTGAAGACAATTTTACCCTCAATACTTTCCGAAATTTCACCATGTCCCTACAAGGGCTCCACAATAATATAAAGGTAGTATAGTAATTTCTCACCAAAGAGCAACTTCTTTAGCAATTCCTAGACGCATTAGCTTTTTTAAATTTCAAAAAGCAAAAAAGCTTCCATTTTACCCAAGGGGATGGTTTCCAAGATTTTCTTCTCAATGTCTCCCCCAAGCTTAGCAGTCATATCAGACGCAATGAACCCTGGGGCAACAGCATTAACCTGTTGAACCAAAAAAAACAAAACTTCAATAAAATTGGTTTCTATTTACTACTCACCTACTCACTAGTATCAGCTGCATCTTGGCTTGTGTCTAATTCCAAGAATGAAATGAAACAAATCTGGAAAACTCACATTAATATTCCTACTCGCATATTCCCTTGCCACGGTTTTTGTGAGGCCAAGTACCCCTGCTTTTGCAGCACTATAATTGGCTTGCCCAACGTTACCAACAAGACCAACAACTGATGCTATGTTGATTATCCTTCCCTGCCACATCAGCAATTAAAATAAATGTGAGATCGAAAGGCAAAAAGATATTAAATAGCTACCAAATAATTGAAATTTTTTTTTCTCAATTGTTTCTCAAAATAACAAATTTCTTTCTCAATTGTAAGCAACTTGTGATGAATCATGAAAGAGCATGAAATGAGGAGAGGATTGAAATTTTTTTCCGAAAACTATTTCTGATGCAAATTTGAGAAACAAACTTTCAAGTGGAAATGCATTAAAAATAGGTTGAAACTAAAATCCCTACCCACCCCTCCTGCACGTGGGAAATAAAGTGTAGTTGTCTGGCAAATACAGTTTTAGGTCAAGTTTGGCATCTTCCAAAAAATTCAAAAAGTCACTATCCTATTTAAGTCACATCATCTCATTTAAGTCACATCACCTCTCTAACACATCACTTCAAACCCAACCCAAATCCAACTCATATTTAATAAAAAGTCAAAAAGTGCACTTATTTAGTCTTCCCAAACTTGGCCTTAATATAGATAAAATTGAGCCTATGAGAAAGGAAAACCTTTTTCTTTTTCATCATAATCTTGGCTGCAGCCTGCAAAGAGTCGTAAAAAACCTGCTTAGATCCAACTGAGAGGAAAGCTATGACCGCCAAAACTGAGCTTAAAATCTACACACCTGTGTGCATAGGTATACACCAGTGAGATTTAGATCAATAACCTCCTTCCATTGAGCAGTCTTCAATCTCATCAATAAACCATCTCTAGTAATACCTGAAGCCATTGTTGATCAGTTAGTGGACAATATCTGAAGCTGTTAATGATGGAAGAGGAGGTGGAACATTCAAGAACCTGCATTGTTTATGCCAAAACTGAGCTTAAAATCTACACACCTGTGTGCATAGGTATACACCAGTGAGATTTAGATCAATAACCTCCTTCCATTGAGCAGTCTTCAATCTCATCAATAAACCATCTCTAGTAATACCTGAAACCATTGTTGATCAGTTAGTGGACAATATCTGAAGCTGTTAATGATGGAAGAGGAGGCGGAACATTCAAGAACCTGCATTGTTTATCAATATATCAACAGTTCCCCATGCATCAACCGCCTGTAGATGTGACAATTATGAAGCAAACTAAAAAATATCAGCATATTTAAAACTAAAACAATTACCAAGAATTTGCAACATTTACTCACAGTTTTGATCATTGATTCCACATCTGCTTCTTTTGAAACATCTCCTCCAAATGTAATAGCCTGACCACCACATGTCTTAATCTGCAAGAAATTGTCGTGCGGGGACTATCATCAATGATTTTCCACACCTTTATTGTCCAGTGAATATGAGAGACAATGATGACAGATACAGAACTGATTAGTAGCCTAAGAACATGATTCAAGGGCATGGTTCCATAAAGTAATCTCTTTATCAACTTTCGCTTCTTGTTGTAATGAACAAGCATGATTTGAAATGAATATAACTCATAACATAGAAGTAAAAAAAACTAAAATATAGTACATACCATGTGTATCCAGAATAAGAGAGATAAAGAAATGTCAAATCATACATGAATGAACAGCAACCAGTCAGAATAATCAGCCCTGTAGTCACACAAGGTATGCTTGAAGGTTTTTCATGTAGCAGTTCCTGTCAGTCTCATAGTAAACACATTCAAATTTGCAAATGGGATGCTTAATAAGGCAAGTGGGTGCTGGTTTTTTAGTGGTGGAGGCAGGTAAAACTCATTTTAAGTTCACACCTTTGCAGAATAGCAAAAACTAAACACTAGTTAATACTAAGAACCTTCAAGTTCTGAATTTTAATTAAGAAGAGATATAACACAAAAAAGTATATGCATCAGGCTAATAATAGTTTTACAATGAATCTAGCAGAGTTTATAACAGAGATAATTTGTGGAAATTTCAAACATTCTTCCAGGAGAGATCATAAATAAACATCACCAAGAGATAATAAATAACAGTGGCACCCACATTTTGAGATTAAAATTTTTTAAAATCTAAAAATAATAATAACTCTGCTCATATCAACCCACTAACCTCTTTACAAACTTCTTCTGCCTCCTTTGATGACCTAGCATAATTAACCAGAACCTGTCAAAGAAAGTCCATAATCAACATTTGGGAGGAAGGGAAGGTGAATGATAAATCACTAAACTCCATGTATCAAATTCATTATAGATCCACAGGGCTGTAGTGTCCTCCATGTGCCAGTTGGCAAGAAAATTTTAAGCAAAACAATCAAATCATGGGAAATAAAGTTTGAAACCACAAAATTACTGAAACCACAAAATTACTGAGATCTCATCATGGGAAATAAAGTTTGTGTTCCTTGAAATACAAATGAATTAGTATTCAAAAAGAAACTCCACATTAACATAATTCAGTGACTAACATTTGAAATATACTTGCACAAAATTCTAGTAGAGGAGAATAATTTGTGCATTGTACATTTCCTAAAATGTCGTGGCCAAAAAAATTATAAAATTGCTTCATGCTAAGATCCTTTGAGATTCAAATGGATCGTAATCATTGAGATATCTACCTGTAAACTACTAAATGGCCATAATATGACTGCCCACAAAACAAATGTTTGACAGGTCAAGATTCTAGGATGCATGATATGGCATTTGAACAAAAGAAAATAAAAAAGCAGTAGTTGGATTCTACTACTCATTGCATAGAATTATGAATTTAGTAAAATATCCTCACAATAGCAAAGCATAACAGATGCGTATATCTTAGAAGGTGACCATATTAAATGCTTAATACCATAAGCGTTGAGTAATCATCTGACCTTACAACCTGCTTTCCCCAAAGCCAAGGCAATTGCTTTGCCAATTCCTCGAGAAGCTCCAGTAACCACAACAACAGGAGCTTCCACATTTTGAGTCACTCCAGTACTTGATTGTTCAACAGTGGCAACCTGTGCTTTTACACCTGCATGTACCATTGCAATTAACAAGATCTGCATTTTAGGATATGAGATAATGAATAGGTAACTGAGACATGTATGTATAGGTGTCATCACCAGAAATGAAAGGCAAGAAAAGTCACTTATTTTCAAAACCATGCAAGTAAAATTCCTCTATCTATATTTTGCCGTTAAGTCACTGGTCAGCCCATGGAGATCGCATGTTATAGTTGATCTTACATGGGATTTAATTTTTAAACCAAGTCCATTGGCTTCTTACAAAATTGAAATAAATTTGAGGGAGACTTACATGTAGGTCTTAATAGGTAGACTTATTGTCCAATAGGTCCTATGATAATTAATAGCGTTTTCCATCAAATACTATTAAAAAATGTCACTAATTGTTAATTTTCAGCTTAAAATTTGTCACAAAAAAGTCACTAATTATAAGTTTTAACGACAGTTTAAAAAAATATATAAAAAAAACCATTATTCAGTATGTTTGGTTTGAGTTTTTTGAATTCAGTTATATGAAAACTGAGTTTCTTATTTTTCGTGTTTTTTTATTTTTAGTAAATAGTTTAAAATTTTAAACATTTTTTTTTACTTTTTTAGATACACCTTACTTAGATGTATCTAAAAAATAAAATATTTGTGAAAAAATATTTCAAAAAATTAATAAATACCCAAAAATATGAAAAATAAACTGAATTTTCGTAATTTTTTGTATTTTTGGTATTTAGTGAATTTTTTAAAGATTTTTTTCACAAAAATTATATTTTTTAAGTGTATTTATGTTAGGTGTGTCTACAAATTAAAAAAATTCAATAAAAAAAAATACGAAAAACAAGAAAGTAGAATTTTCTGAAAAGTATTTTTAGAAAACTCAAACCAAGCAAAGTGATTAATTTTCAACTTTTAGTGACAGTTTGAAAAAATTGTCACAGAAAAACATCACTAATTGTAAGTTTTAGCGACAATTTATAAAAATTGTAACAAAAAAAGTTACTACTTGTCAATTTTTAGCGACATATGTAAAAAATGTCACAAAAAGTATTTTTAGCAACGATTTTTAATAGGACTTGATGGGAATTAAATCCAACTATTAGGACCTATTAGTAGTTTATCCTAAATTTTATATTTTTACAAAATATTTGTTTAATTTGAAATTCCTCAACTTACTCTGATGAGTTTGGTATTCTGTCTATGTAAGACATGAATGAAACTCAAATTCACCACTATACGTAATCATTGTAGTGCGAACTGGTTTCCACAATAGCGAGAGAAGGAACTAGCCTGGCAAGAGGAAGGTCCCCACTCCGAAGTGGGCCCTTTCCCCCACTCCAAGGTGGGCCGAGCTAAAGGTTCAGCCTTGGCCCATTCCCTACTCCGAAGTGGGGAAGGTCATTGGCCCAACCAAAGCTTCTTCCCCTACTCTGAAGTAGGCCGAGCTAAGGGTCGACCTGGCCCATTCCTCATTCCGAAGTGGGCAAGTCCATTCTCCATGGCCCTCACTTAATCCAAAGTGAGTTAGGCTAAGTTACGCTATAACAGAACAACCAACGCTATGCGGGTGAAGAGCACGTAATACCTGTGAATAACGGAACTGCCTAACAGAGTCTACGCTCTCCTCCAATGAGGAAGGACCTGGCATAACAACCGAGTGCCAGGTGGCAAATAGAGGAACTTGGTGAGCACGTCAAGTTTTCCCTATAAAAGGTAACCTCACTCTCTTTTGCAAGGGATCGATGACTTTACACTATATACACACTAGGGCCAGCCCTGGGCTAAGGCTGGTGAGGCCTGTGCCTAGGGCCTAAAAATTAAGCCCAAAAAAAGGGTCCCAAATTTAGTCTTACACTATATTAAAAACTTAAAATGGCCCAATTTTATTTAATTAATTTAGGCCATTTTAAAAGGGGCCTCAAAAAATCTATTTGGCCCAATTGATAAAAGGCCAAATTAAAAAATATTTATAAGTTTTAGTTGTTAGTCCAATTAAAAAAATAAAATATTAAATATATGTATATGTATTAATTTTGTGTGACCTATTTTTTTTTTTCTCTCTTTATGGCCCAATTATGTGTTTTTTAGTATTTTTTTAAAAAAAATATTTTACACAATTTTTATTTATCTATTTTGTAGATACATCTAATTTAGATACACTTAAAAACTATAATATTTATATATATTTTTTAAAAACGTTACCAAATACAAAAAATATAAAAAAATACGAATTGTAAACTCAGAAAATTATTTTTGAAAACTCTAAACCAAACAGAGTGATTTTTATTTTTATTTATTTATTTTTTAAATATCTAAAAATGTCTCGAAAAATTATTTCGCCTTAAGCCCCTGAAAACTCAGGGCCAGCCCTGATACACACTCGTCTTCTCTACTTGCTCTTTACCAAACTCCGGTACTGAATCGACCATCGAAGGGGTTTCCGACCAAACCCTGGTCAGGGAGCCTAACCATCTGTTCCTTGTGCAGGCCTTCACCCAATAGTGCACCAGGGTTCGTTCATGAAGTTTCTTCTCTCTCTCTGTTGCGGAAACCAGTCTGCACAATTGCCAAATTATTTCGAAATGTTTTTAATTCCTTGAATTATCTCAAATTTTATGGAATTTTTAAGTGAGCGTCCCCTTTCATACAATTCATTCTTCATTTTGTCCAAGAAATTCACATTATTTCTCATGACTTTGAATTTGACATGTTCTGAAGCCTACTCTCAAATCCTGGTACTGTACATAGAACTACACAACACAACCATAAAAAACTTCAAGTTTTCAAATTTGATGAACAAAATTCTCAAATGCAAAGTGGCATTCGCTGGTGAACAATGTTCTCAAAGCTCAGTCTAAATAGCCAATTGATCCAAAATGCACAATAATTCCAGCTCCAAATAGGCCCTATAGTTAACACAACTAGATGTGCAGTAGGAATTACTAGTTGTAAAGCACTGAACTGATTCGATTCATATATGAGTAAAAGAACGACGACAAATCAAACGCATGTAATGAGATATGTATATGTATATACACAAAAAGCTCCAAAGAGGGAATGAAATCAATACCAGAGGTAGCAAAGGAGGTTCTCGATCCGCAATGCGAGTTAAGGCGGAGCTGAATGGAACGAACTCGGCCGGTGATCGGAGAGAAATGAGAGGCTCTGAGGTCGCCGGAATTCGAACCAAATTCGGCGGATTTGAAGGCGATAACGGCCGATCCGGCGACGGAAGAAGCAGCCATGGAAGCTCCGAAGACGATTGAAGAGAGAGAGAGAGAGAGAGAGAGAGCGAGACAGAGAGAAAAGGAATGTTTATAGAGAGGAAGCTTTGGAAGATCCGAAGACCCTGAGAGAGCCGTGGCGATGACTACGATGGGTTTTAGTTGCGACTTGTATACACCTTTCTGTTGCGTGTTGTTAATCGATGTGTAAATTCAAAAAAAAAGGGTAAATTTAGGGATTATTTAAGATATTCTAAACAAAAAATAGTGAGACCCCTTTCCAAGGGATCCCACGACCCCTTTGCCTTTTGATTGGTTGAAATTGTTTTTTTTTTTTTTTTTCTTCTCTCCCACTCACCAACCCCCACGTGTCTGTGGGGGGTGGTGGGGGTGGGAATATGAGGGGTCCTAATCACAGCTCTATTCTAAATAAGCGTATTTTTGACTTTTTATGAAATATAGGTTGGGTTTGAAGTGATGTGGTAGTGAGGTAATCTGACTTAAATAAGATAATGTGACTTAAATAGAATAATGATTTTTTTAACTTTTTTAGTATATGTCAAACAATGCCTTAATCTATCTATCTATCTATCTATCTATACTATTATAAAGTGAACACCTCTTATGGTGTCCTGAAGCTTTACTCTCCTCATGCCATGTGGCAGTATTTTTTATTTTTTTTAAAAAAATTATGACCATGAATTTAAGTATAAGGACTCATACCATTTAAGCTAAGTACACATTATAATATTAATTTCATTATTATTGTTTTTTATTTCTACTTATTTAAATTGCACACACATCGTGTGTGCCACCCACTAGTTAGAGTAAATTACACTGACTTCCGAGATTTTTGTTTAATATAAAAAAAAATTATGTTTAAAAAATTACACTTATTTTTCTGTCAAATTAAAATGATATATTTTTTTCCTTAGTTTTTATACATATAAAATAATAAAATAATATTGATATTTTGTTCATGTCATTTTAAAATAAAAAAACAATCATCTTCTTTGGTTTAACTCAAACAAAAAAATTAATTTTTTTATTTTTCGTATTTTTTTATTTTTGCTAAACTTTTTTTTAATATTTTAAGTAATTTTTTTTTAAAAAAAAATAGATATGATTAGGATGTACTTAAGAAATATAATATTTTGTGATCTTTTTTTTTTAATTCACCAAATTCAAAAAAAAAATACAAAAATACAAAAATATAAAAACTTAGTAATACTATAATAAATGTAAATGACAGTATTTGGTAATACTATAATAAATGTAGGTGAATAGACGAGAAAAAAAAAATAATGGTGCAAAAAAAATCAAAAATTATATTCATATAAAAAAATTTATACAAAAAATATCATAAAAATGTTGTGATAGTGATGTTTTAAATATAAATTATGTTTATGAGTGTTTTGTTCTAAAATGAAAGGTCAACATTAAGCTATATTATTGTGTTTAAAAATTTTATATAAAATTTATGTTTGCATATTATCACTCAATAAGAATATGTTCGGGTATAATTTAATGATGAAAAATTGTAGAATATAGTTATAATGATAGGAAAAAGAAATGGTAGGAAAAAAATGCAAAATGGTTATTAAAAAAATTTTAGGACATGACATCAGTAATCCATGAGACAATTTGTAATGAGATTACAAACCTCAGAGAGGAGAATGTAATTTTTTAGATGTGATGGAGGAACCTGTATTAAACAGAAATCTCATGGAGTGTTAGTGTACTCGACCCATTTAGTTAAAATCTCTCATTTAGTAAAAAGGTTAACACAATTTATTTTGTTTCATAAATCTTTTAAGAAAGAAGTGTATAATTGAGTAAAGATAGAGTAAATTTTTTTTCTTGGACAATATTACCCATGTATATATATCTCACGAACGCTTCTGACAAGAAATACTTTTATTTTATTTTATACAAGTTTTAAAATGTGTATGTATATTTTGGTTGGTTCATCTAGTATTTACTCTATTTCTGTAACAGTAAAATGTTATTTTGAATCAAAGTAACATGTTACTGATTACGTCAATTTCGATGGCATTTTTTTATTTTTTATGTTTTAAGAATATAGATCTTATTTGATAGATTTTGATGAGAAAATTCTAAAAATACTAATTTTATTAAAAACTGACATTTAGATTAAAAGTTATATTATTTTAAAGTTTAAAATATTAAATTGCTCACTGAATATATTTTAATAATAGTGGTATGTATTGAACTTTTTTAAAAAAACTTTTTGTACTTATCTTTAATACATTAAAGTTTTATTACGAAAGAATTTTGACCAAATCTCCCCAAAACTATTTGCTTATTTATATATGTACAATATTGCTACACCCACCAAATTTTGCTCCACCCAAATTTCTCGAATGAATATCCTAAGTATATTCATTTTTACTCAATCGGATGTAAGATTTTCCGTTGGACAATTTGGGTAGAGCAAAATTTTGTGGATCAAACAGTATTCTTATATGTAATTGGGATTGTGATCCTCTCCATTGCATATTTGTAATGAAGAAATCTATTATATCATCTAATGGTGAATGTAATAATGTTTTTTAATTTAAAATAATTATAATTTTACATTCATATTTCGTAACTATTAGATATGTAATGAAAATATTTCATTACATAAATGGAATAGAGATGATCAAAGTCCATGTAATTGCATTATAAATTAAAAAAAAAAATTCATATGTAATTTTTATGGGAAAGACTATGAACACACCTCTAAAAAAGTGTGTATTATATGTACTTTATAACAATTTCATACTTTATGATTTATAATTTTTTTTTGTTTAAAAAAAAGTCATAGCCTAACACTATATGGGTGTGTTTGATTAGACGGACTGGATAAGAGGGGATTAGAATCCATTACACTTGAGTCCTGGGACTATGAATCCCCTGGACTATTTGGTTGGATTGGATATGTATCCTGTGCTTGTTTTTTCATGGAATTAGATGTCTGGAAAAAATTATTTTTAGTGAATCCAATGTTTGGTTGGACGGACTGGATAGGATAAATGAACAAAGGACTATTTTACCATTTTTTAATTGTTTACTAAGTAATAGCAATATTAAACATATCTTTAATATTTTAATTTTTTAGCTAGATTAAATAATATTTTATTTTATTTTATTTTTTACACAATTAAATAAATTTATTTTTTTAAAATTAAATAAATAAAATATCAACAAAAATATATGTTATTTTTTTAATTAAAATTTTAAATAAATTTATTTTTAAAAATAATAATAATTAAATAATGAAATTAAATAAAACATCCATTAAAATTTAAATAATGAGATTAAATAAATTATAAACAAAATTTTAAAATAAAACATCAATAAAATATCTATAAAAAGTTATTTTAAAAAATTAAATAAATAAAACATCAATAAAAAGTTAAACAAAATTATTTTATTTTTAAATTGAGACATTAAAATTTTATTGAATTTTACTAAATATAATACATAATTAAATAGTAGAGGGTCAAAATGGTCATTTCATCACCTAATCTCAACAGTGGATAGTCTCCCGAAAATTGTCCCATACCCCCCCTATGATACAATAGTCCCCCATATGGGAGATAAGGAGTCTGGCCGGACTCCATGTCCGGTAGATTAAAAAAAAAACAAACGCCGGATAAAGAGTCTCCCCCGGATTACAATCCCAATAGTGAATAATCCCCCCCTCTTATCCCCTCCAATCAAACACACATGGGTATAACCAAAAATCTCAAAAAAATATCATAACTAAAGAATAAAAATGGTCATAACTAAAGAAGAAAATGACGTAACTGAAAGTGCATATGCTATGAAGTGTGTATTGTAGAATTCTCCAATTTTTATATATAATGATTTAATTTATTATGGACATTTCATTCAAAACAAAATATCGTTAAAAATAAATTTATTTACAATAATAGCTTATCATATCATTATTGTCAAGTTTTTTATATGAATTTTATAGAATAATAAAAATTTTCATCAATCAAATTAACTATATTTGGATTATATGCAAAATGCATGCTAAATTGTAAGTGAATTTAGTATAAATATTTAATTATTTCAATAATTAAGTAGTTATATGGGGTTGTCTTCTTTGGAAGAATAAATATTCAATGTTATTAACGTCAATATCATGTCCAATGCAGATATTTAAATTACTCATTTTGTGTGAAGTTTAATTTTTGTTGGGACAATTACTTGACAATGGTGTTAAATTTTTTTTATATAAATTAATAAAAAAAATTATAATATTAATTATTAACGTTTATAATATTTTTTGCTTGTAAATATATTTTATTGACATCATGTCAATATAATTCTCTCATTTTTGTTCACTAAGACAATCATTCATACAACATATAATTCTTCCACCATCGGGGGTGGTGGTCTCATGTACAACGCATTGTGTTTTCACAAGAGTGAGTCAAGTTCGAATCCTGGAGCACGCTCTCCTTACGAGACTATGTATTATGCTCCGATAAAAGCTTGACATCTTTTGTGGCACGTGACAAGGTTTATTGGGTACTTCGATAGTGAGTACTTTTCTATGAGTTAGGTTAAATGTGACCGACTAACAATTACCCTAGAAACAATATCCACAGATACTATAATGCCTAACGGAGCATCTTTTTTTTTGCAGTTCAAAAAAAAAACAAACAAACAAACATATAATTCTTTCATTTTTGTTTATTAACAAAATCGGTCATACAACATAAGATGATGTGGGGTTGCTTTCTCATTGAAAAGACAATCCTTATGCAATGAAATACTTGAGGGACTTTTCTTAGGTGTGCCTTACATATGGTATCTAAGGCACTTACACCTTTTATATATTGCACTTACATGTTTTATGTATTGGGTTATACCAAATTTCAAAAAAACTTACACATTGATGACCTGCTAAGTAGGTCACTTTCCAGGTAAATTAATAAAATAATATATTATGTGACTAAAAGTTTACGTTGTCACAAAAACGTGTAAATAATTTCACAAGAAGGTATAAATTTTCACAAAAAGCGTAAGTAATTTCAAGAAAACTTACACCTTTTGTGAACACTTTACACTTTTTGTGAAAACTTACGCTTTTTTGTGAAATTACTTACACATTTTTTGAAAATTTATGCTTTTTTGTGAAATTACTTACACATTTTGTGACAACT